TCATGTGCAGGTTCTGCTGAAGGAGCCCAACCGGCACCAGCTGTGCCGCGTGATGCGCACCACCCTGCAGGAGGCCCTCATTCTCATCTCCAATCACTTTTGCGACTACGAACGCCAGACGGCGTTTATTGAGCACATTGTCCTGGAGAAGCGCTCCGAGTGGCTCTCCTTTGAGGATGCCTTCAAGTCGGCGCTGCATTTCATGCGCTTCGTCGGCCTGGACAAGCCGCCCGTGTTTGCCATTGACAGCGATCCGGCGGTTCCGAATCGGTCGCGCATCATCGACGCCCTCCATGTGGTCCTGGGCGTGGTCAAGCGATGTACATGGCCCGACGATCCGGATCGTGCGCAGCGCGGTGGCTTTGTGATCGCCTGCACCGAGGTGGGCAATCCCATTTGCCGTAACCCGGCCACGAAGCATGTGGTGCCGGTGCTCTCCCACGTCCTCAACCTGATGCGTGTCCTCAACGAGATGTTCACCCCCGAGGCATTGGCCGCCCTCTCCGAGGGCTATCGCAACATCCACGGCATGCTAGAGCACGAGAAGAAGCTGCTAATGGGCATCTGTGCGCTGCCAGCCGATCCCCTAGACACCACCATCAAGCGGGAGCCGACCGCCTTCGAGAAGATGCAAACATTCATGATGCTGGTCACGGAGGGATGCTACCATCTGATGGGCTCCGCGGGACCATCGCTGGGGCGCGATCTCTACCAATTGAATGGCATGGCGAGTGCGATCATCACGAATGTCTTTAGCTGCATGGACATCATTCCGGACTACCGCATGCGTCCCATCATCCGTGTGTTCTTCAAGCCCTTCGTCTACTCCTGCCCGCCCATCTTCTACGACGATGTGCTGGTGCCGCTGTTCGCTCATCTGACGCCGCTGATGTGCGAACGCCTCACCAGACGCTGGCTCTACATATCATCGCTGTACGAGAGCGGCCAGCTGACGGGCGAGGTCAACGATACCCAGGAAGTGCTCGAGGATCAGCTGAATCGCACACTGACGCGTGAGTATCTCGACGTTCTGAAGATAGCGCTGGTGGGTGGCCAGATTGGGTCCGACCATGCGGCCTCGGGCGGCGGCACCGCCAATGTTGTGGCCATGGAGAACGAGGAGCACTCGATGGACAGTGTCCCCCAGTCGCGGGCCTCACAGTCGGCCCTACTCTCGGACATCATCAGCGATTTGGGGGGCAAGTTGCTGCGCAACGACTTCATCGGCAACTACATCCTGATGACCCTACTGAAGGCGATCGCCTGGAACGACGGCATGGTGAACATGAAGGCCGTCAACATAGCGGCGCCAGTGATGCGCTTCCTGGCCGCCGAACATCTGATGGACGAGGACAAGGCGGTGTGCGCGTTCACGGCCGTGCTACAGGGCATGCAGGTGCATGGACAGCACGAGGCAAACCAGTCCGGCCTGATCACATTGGGTGTGCAATTCTACGAGCTGTTGCGCCCCAAATTCCCGATACTCAGCGAGGTGCTACAACACATTCCCAGCGTGAATGCGGCGGACATTCAGAAGTTCGATGAGAAAACCGCCGTGGCCCCCGTCAAGGGGAACAAGGTCGATCGCGCCAAAAAGGATATATTCAAGAAGCTGACCGCCCAGCTGGTGGGGCGCAGTGTGAACCAATTATTCCGCCATGAGGTGCAGATTGCCAATCTGCCACCAATGCAGCCGCACAAACTCAAGTCCACGGGCACGGGCACGGGCACCACGAGCCACAACATCATGGATAGCAATCAAAACGCCAATCTGACCAAGCTCTTTGGTTCGGACAAGTGACAGGGGCCGCCGAGGAGGAGGAGACGAAGGCCCCGCGGCGGAGGAGCAGCAGCCAAGCCAGCAGCGGTCACCAAGCGAACCAACACCACCACCACCACAAACGCCTCAGCCGTGGCGGGTCCAGTTCTGGTTGAAGTTCCAGTTCCAGTTCCAGTCCCAGTTGCTGACTCGGGAACGGGCACGGACACTGGCACGGGCACGACGGGCATTGCCACGGTCACCTCGGCTGCCAAACTAGCGACGACTGAACTTAAAGTAATAGTTAACTAGCTAAGAAGATGGAGCCGCTGTTGCTCTCCGTCCCCGGAGAGGATGAAGCGCGCGTGAAACAGATGGCGGCGCATTCCCAGAGACCCAGAGCCATAGCCCAGCCCAGTCCCAGGTCAGTCTTAAAACAAGCAAAGAATGAAGAAATTTTAACTCTAAATTATTTATTATATTAATTATCCAGTAAAATTAGTTTAGTTAGGTCCTCCTCCCTCGCCCATGCGCCACGCCCAAGCCATCGCTCCTAAATCTTATTATTATTTTATATCCATGCAGTGAAGAAGGGACTTGTCCACTGCCTTGTTATTTATTATTCGGAATTTGTTAAATTTGCCTACTGCACAAAGAGAAGAGAGAGAGAGAGAGAGAGAGAGGGAGTCGAGTGGGATCGATAATACCAACCATAAAGCCAATACTCGATAAAACGCTTACGTACAGAAGAGGCATGAGACATGAGACAGCCATTAAGCCGGGCTTTTAATCCGCCTGTGCCTCACACACAAACACCCACACTAATACACATGAACACTTTTTATATATAGGCAAAAGATAATGAAAAATGATGAATTGTGCTTTCCCATGTGCTCCCTCCCCTTCCCCCCTAACACAGCCCACAGGTTCCACTTTGTATAATAGAGTTATCTAAATTTCAATAAGTGCATCGTACATACATTGTGGTTTATATATATATATATATATATATATATTGTACTACTTATGAAAGGAATACTTATGAAATTACGCTTAGGCTTAGTTGATAGGCAACGATTAAGAATTATTATTATATAATATAATATATCAAAATGTATATGAACAGAAAGAAACCCACACACCACACACACAACCCCACACACAGCACAGTTGAGTGTAGCTTATATATTATTCGCAGGAATTTTATATATATTATATTTGAAACTAAATGAAGTGCGAAGACCGCATTCCCATCCCCAAAACCATCATCCACATCCCCGAAGAAGAAAACCAAATCGAAATGAGGTAATAAATTTGAAATAAATTTACAAATTCGAAAGGAGAACCACAAACTTTATTCAGGGGATAACACCCAACCCATTCCTGAAACTGGGTCAGATCAGATTGCCAAGGCTAAGGCGTTACATTACTCCCATCTCACTTATGAAGTATTCAGTCTGTAACGAGATGCGAGACAAAGCTTTAATGGAAGAAAGGAGCAGCAGAAATATTTTAAAAATCGAACTTAATATGTCGAAGGGTATCCCCTTCCTCGTTTTGTTTTTCTCCCGATAGATCTCGGTCCTTTTGTCTTTCTTCGTGAGATTTTATTCGGAGCCTTTAAGGACATTCAAAGTCCGCATGTTTATATGGTTTGCATTATATAATCGAATCTCTTGCATTACTTAAGCATTACACATAATACAGATCAAGCTACAAAAAATACATTTTCTGATAATAATTTAAAAACAATTTCTCGCTGGCTCTCCCTCACACGCTCTTTATGAGCCCGCATGCCGATTGTCGCAGAGATTGCTCCAGTCGGGGACGTGCTCGTTCTTCAGGTACGTCTCCTTGGACAGGGATCGTGTTTGGATGAGATCTGTGGCGCCGCACAGGGCGCCACCCAGCCAGGCGGTGAAGTTCTGCTTGCCAATGGAATTGAAGAACTTGAACTGCAGCTCACCGTGGAAGCGCTCGGCGTAGTACGGATCGTTGGTAAGGAGGTGCTGCAGCTCCTGCTGGAGTCGTGGCAGCAAGCCCTGGACCATGGAGCCGCCGCCGATGAGGAAAACGCTTTCGACCAGGGGCTTCCGCACGTCCAGGGTGCAGTTCAGAATGGAGCGCAGTATGAGATGCGGCAGGCTGTCGCGCTCGTTGTTCGGCTCGAACATTATCTCGTAGACGGTCTCCCGAAGGAGGCCGGGCACCTCGACCATCGTATCATTATCACAGATGATGTAGTCCACGCTGGGCGGAGGCTTTGGCTGATTTTCGTCGCCCCTGGAGCGAGAATGTGCCCGATCCATGGTGGTCACAAAGCATGTTCGCACTTTGATGTCCTCCAGAACGCTCTCTGTGAGCAGAGACTCCTTGACGCCCGTCTCCAACAGCTGCCGTTTGATTTCCGCATGTATGGCGCTGCCTCCATAGCTTTGGTCCTTGAAGGCAGACATGATTTGGACTCCACTAAAGACGGGCATGATGCTCGTCTCGCTGTAGCCGATGTCCACGACCACGGCTGTGGCCACTGCCAGCGTGGACAGCGCTATCAGATGAGCCGGCACAAACAGCACCGACGAGACATCGAAGTGGACAAAGAGTGCCCGCGCCAAGGTCTCCCTGATCACTGTCCGACCAAAGATGTTCTCCACCACCACAAACTTTCGCTCCTTGGGACTGACCAACAGGTGCCTGGAAAGCAACAAATGGTCAGCTCAGCCTCTGCCTCAATGCAAAATTTCGATATGTTTTACTTGAAGAATATCGTCTGCAAAAAGTCAATAATTTGGTCGTACAGCTCATCCTTCTGTTCATAGTCAAACAGCCGCTTCGTGTTCCCTGTCGTTGTCAGCACAACCTCCGTGGGCATGATTTTCCGTGGATACGCCTCCCCAGCAAAGCCCAGCCTTCAAAAACAGACGAGACACCCCAATGATGATATCATCCACAACAGTTTCTCCATCATATTGAGTGTTACTCACTTTGTATACGCATTCCCAATGTCCAAGACGATTGGTGGCTTCTCCTGCATGACACTCTCGTAGATGGGCATCCTGAGAAGCTTATTATTTCGATTTTAAGGCTATTTGAATTTAAATTGGGATTGGGTTTTGTTACACAGTGTGACCGCGGATGTGCCGATAAAATATACCGCCCGAGCCTCTTAAATATACCGAAATATACCGTAAAACACCTCGGAAAAGAGTGAAATTCCTCCAGCAAACATCTGATTTGGCAATTACCATTTACCAACACCAAACAATATCAACATTTTGGTTAGCAAAAAAACAAAGTTTCGTTTTTTTGAGAAACATAAACAATTAAACGCAATGAGCAACTACATACAATTTGAAAGTGGGAGCGACAAGGAGAGGGCTCGCCAGCAGATAAGGGAAGCCCGCGCCGAGATGCTGGAACAGGCCAAGGAGAGAGCCGGCCTTATCAAGAAAAAGGAGCTTCAAAGGGAATTGCGGGGTGAGAGCGATTGGATGCTTCCAGCCGTGGCCAAGAAACTGGAGAAGCCCCCAAGTGGCTCATCGAAAAAGGCCAAGAAAAAGAAGAAGGTGAAGCAAAAATCAAAGTCCTCGAAATTAAAGAAATCATCAAGGAAGAAGAGCAGAAAGGCTCAGAGCAGCAGTGACAGCGATAGCGACAGTGACAGTGATAGCTCTAGTTCCTCCTCGTCGTCGTCGTCTTCGTCCTCATCCAGTGAAGATGAGAAGCAACGCAGGACACGCAAGAAGACGAAGAAGTCCAAAAGGAGCCACAAAAAAGGGAACCACAGCGAAGACGAGTGGGTGGAACGCGCTCCAGTTGTGTCTAAGGATAAGGATAAGGCCAAGGACAAAGCTGAGGATGCACCAGTGGTGCGCGACACTTGGATGACCAGTGACGACCTCCTGCTGAAAACCTTCTCCAGAACACGCAAGGAGCCAACCAAACCTAACGACAAGCTGCAGCAGATCGATGCCTACGATCCGGCCAAGAGCGGACGCGAGCTGAATCCCTACTGGAAGAGCAATGGCACAGGCCTGCCCGGCTTCCAGAGGCCACAGGACGACGATGATCGCGAGACAGAGCCGCATTCTTACAGCTCCACTCAGCAGAGCACCTCGACAAGAGGCTGGCAGAAGCCTTCAGCCAAGACGCACTCCTATAGCCCCTCTGCGCCGAGAAGGAGTAAATCTGCGTCAGAAAGTGAATCATCTGATGAAGATACGGCGGACAAGGCTGCCCACCAATCTGCCCAGCCTGCCTGCCTAACGGATGAGCAAATCAATGAATTGGCCGGCAAAGCCATCAAAGCAGAAATCATGGGGAATGCGGAGCGGGCAGCTGAGCTCAACCAACAGTTGGCCGAAGCACGCAAGGTGCGCGCCGATTTCCTGGCCACTGGGAACATGCCCGCGAAGACAGCTGCCAAGCCAAAGAGATCCCAGGAACATGTGCTGCTCACCAAAACCGATCAATGCGGCAATGTGCGTCCCCTGGTGCAGGCCGCGACAGGCACGACGGACCCCAACTCGCTGTACGGCGCCCGCAGGGGTCAGAAGCGCAGCAACAAGAAGGTCGACACCCATGTCGATGGCCAACGGGTGAGATACTTTGCAGACGACGATCGCTACGACATCAAGCAGATGGTAAGATTCAAAGTGTACACTGGCAACCAAGCGGGAGAATCCTCTCTACTCCTGTTCCGCTTTCTGTTTCAGTTTGAGCGCGAGAAGCATGCCACGGCCGCTGAATCGAACCTGCAGTACGCGGACATTGTGTCCAAGCACAAGAACCCCAACGATGATCTGGAGGACATATTTGCGGACAAGGTTCGAAAGAATATCAGCGAGGCAGATGCTGAGAAGCGGGAGCTGCAGGGTGCCATTCGGGAGGCGAATAGGCTGGAGACCAGCCTCGCTAATTGCGAACGCTGCTTTGACTCGCCCAAGCTGGAGAAGCAGCTGATGGTGTCGATGGGCAAGATGATCTACCTCAGCCTGCCCTGGCATGTGGGCCTGCAGAATGGCCACTGTATTCTGACCACTCTGCAGCACGTGTCCTGCACCACGCAGCTGGACGAGGATGGCTGGGAGGAGCTGAACGATTTCCGAAAGGCTCTTACCCGCATGTTTTCTGCCCAGCGCAAGGATGTGATATTCTATGAGATTGCCAACAAGCTGCATAGGCGACCGCATGTCAGTGTCCATTGCATACCCATACCCGACAGCCAGGGCGAGATGGCGCCCTTCTACTTCAAGAAGGCCATCGAGGAGTCCGAGCAGGAGTGGTGCATCAACAAGCAGCTCGTTTCGCTGCGCCACAAATCGCTGAGGGCCGTTATACCCAAAGGCCTCCCATACGTCTGGGTGCACTTTGGCATGGACTCGGGCTTTGCCCATGTCATCGAAGATGAGGATCGTTTCCCAGCCAATTTTGCACAGGTTAGCTGGCTACCCTTGGCTCTCATGTACCAAGTACTCGACTGACTATCCATATTTTATTTGCAGGAAATTATTGGCGGAATGCTGGAGCTGAATCCAAGTGCTTGGCGAAAGCCGCGAAAGGAGCAACAGTCCATTGTAAAAGTCAAGTCGTTTGCCGAAAACTGGAAAAAATTCGATTGTACCGAAGAGGCTTGAGCTAGCAGGCAAACATTTAGCTTAGCGCTCCTTTCATGAATAAATTAAAATGTTTAAATGAATTGACAGAATCGATATTTCGATAGCGTAACGTCAACACTATTGTGGTGGTTACCAGCACTGGTGGTCCACCGGGTTGCCACCCCGCCATTTCATAGGTATATTTTTAAGGGTCATGCAGTATATTTTATCGATAGACCCGCTGTCCACTGCAGCCAACTTCACGCGTCTTGTTCTTTTTTCCGGTTGACTTTAACAAGAAAGGTTGTGCTCGAGTTTCTTTTTGGTGGAACTAATTTTTTTTTATGTTACAAATGCAAGAAATTAAACGAAAATGTGCGCCCTATCTGGGTGGTGAATGAAAGTACAAGCCAAATGGCCGAGAGTCGATGGCATTTCTACGAAACACTCAATTGTAGCAAATCAGCGTGGATTCGCAGTTTTTGTTGTGCTTGCTTGAGTGGCTCTGTGTGTGCGTGTGCGTTGTGCCTCACGACCGATTGACGGCAACGTGTTTTCCGCGACGCTTCTAATTGTTCGTTTTCCACTTGAATTTCAGATGCCAGGTGTCACAGTGAAGGATATTGACCAGCATGCCGTTACCAAGGCGGTTGCCGTCTTCCTCAAGAAGTGAGTACGCACATCAATCTCTTGCAACACATAACCTCACAATTGTTTTGTTTGTGTTTGGTCTATTGCAGGACTGGCAAATTGAAGGTGCCCGACCAGATGGACATCATCAAGACGGCCAAATTTAAGGAGCTGGCCCCTTACGATCCCGACTGGTTCTATGTGCGTTGCGCCTCTATTCTGCGTCATCTGTATCACCGCAGTCCCGCTGGTGTTGGCTCCATCACCAAGATCTATGGTGGTCGCAAGCGCAACGGTGTCCACCCCTCGCATTTCTGCCGTGCCGCTGACGGTGCTGCCCGCAAGGCTCTCCAGGCCCTCGAGCACGCCCGCCTGGTCGAGAAGCACCCAGAGGGTGGCCGCAAGCTCAGCTCCATCGGACAGCGTGATTTGGACCGCATTGCAAACCAGATTGTGGCCAAGCAGCGTGATGCCGCCAAGCTAACGGGTCCCCTTGTCATTTCCAAGTAAACTCGGACCGCTGGATCGCCCATCTAAGCGAAGTCTAAAACCTTTTTAAGCTTATAATTTAAGCGTTTCTCGTTTGAGGCGCGTTCTCAGAAATGGGAGGATTAAAATGAAACCATAACAAGCGATAATACGATACCAATGTGTGCTACTTATTGTTTTTACCAAATAATCGATGGGCCTGAGCGCTAGATGAAAAGTTCTGTGCTGGAATGCAAGAACCGCAAGTCCCCAAGTCTATGAAGCTAGAACAGAGTGGAGTGTAGATGTTCAGTTAAGTTTTGTCGGGTGTAAGCTGTCAGGAGAGGGACGCAGGCTTTCAAATATTCAATACCACCGATATAATTTCATCATTCAAGTATGTGTTCACACTTGTGTTTTTTTTACATTTATTTAAGAGTTTTGTAGCTTCACAAAAGGTATAAACCCTGGATGATGGTTGTTAAATTATAAAACTATTTCTAATAGCTAAAAGGCAGTCGTTAGACCCTTTCCACTGCTTCCACCATGACAATGCTGTTGCCGCGAATTACCTGAAAGTAGAGACATGTTGCTTGTTGTAGGGGTAATTGTTTATAGCTGAATATGGCCAATCTATTTATCTAACTTACCGCCATTCCGATGGTGTTCTTCGTGTTGCCCTTGCACACCTCAACGGCTTCTTCCAGTACCACATTCATGAACGGTTCAAAGCCCCGCAGTATGCAGCTGACTGAGCGTCCTGCATTTAGCTTTAGCTGAATCCGCTTGTCTATGTACCTAAGCCGCAAGAGGGCAGACTGAAATTTTGCTATATTTCGGACTTACACACAGTTTTTCAGCGCTGGAGGATGGGCTTTCGACAATTTGATTGCTTAATAATGTCAGAGCGCGGCCGAACACAAAATTTACAACGAATAATCGAAATACACTGCTGCGTCGTTTGGGTAATCGAGCTGGCTCGATTTAACTGGTTCCGGTTCACGCTGGAGACGAATGCCTCTCAGGTCAATTAAATTAAATAACTTTGTTCGTATGGTACATATTTTTCAATGGTTGTATGGTACTGATTTGAATTTTATTGAAAGGCGATGCAAAAATTGCACTATCGATATACGTGTTCCGACTACTGCGACGTTCGATTGAACTGGTTCGATTCGGTCAACTAGGGTGACCGTTGCCTGCATCTTAAATACTTTTCGGCATATTTTGGCGGCGAATGTGTATATTTACGGTATATTTTCGAGGGTCAGACGGTATATTTTGTCCATACACCGCGGTCACACTTGGCCTAACATTGAAAGAAGTGCAACGCGTAGCGTCTAATTAAAATTAATTTCGATAATTGATTGATTTGGCCGCAGTCAAGTCGTGAAATAACAAAATTGGCGGCCAAAGTAGGCGCCTTTTTGCCGCCCCGTCTCCCTTCGAGTGACGCACGTCGGTGTTCACCGTGTGCCTTGTTATTGTTGTTGTAGCATTTGCTTTGCTTTTGCTACGTTCGACGTTCCGACGAAAAAAAGTGTGTTTGTATTTATTATACGTATACATATCAGTGTGTGTTTCGCGTGTGTGTCTGAGCGCGCGCCCGCCAGTGTGAGTGTTTGTGTGAAAAGGTATCGTAAAAATGTACAACAAATAAAAGTCGAAAACATTTAAGCGCAAGCTCCAGAGATTTTCGCCTGTTGCTACCATCAATCGGACCCAGGCCAGAAGACTGAGTCGTGCTTGTTCCTGTGCCCAGTGCCAGCTCCAGCACTAGTGCCCGTGCCCGTGCCCCGTGCCAAAGCCAGTTCCCGTGCAACTGTTGCATGCTGAATCGCGCCGCGCAGCATTAAGCCAAGCCGTGCCGTGCGTCGAACCGAGAACCAAGGCCAAATCAAAGCGGATCCAAGGCAGCACAAACGGCAGCATACAAACCCCACCATCGATACTGACGGACACTACTGCTGGATCCTGAACCCACCTGTTGAACTGAAGCAACAATTAATTTATTAACTTACGGGCCCAACGAACGAACTGGGCCAAGTGTTTGCACACTCTGTCACGCACCTGGGAACGCCGTGAGCTCGCGGTGACCCCGCCAGTGTGCCGTCCGTATGTGGCGTTGGCGGTACTCCAGCAAAAGAACCCAAAACCGAATCCCAATTCCCAAGTGGATCTGGTGGTTTGACAGCAGTGAACAAACAAACGGCAAGCGACGCTCGTGACCTCATCGTTAGCAACGATCAACAGCGGCAGCGGCAGCTCTGACGCGTGCCCCTCCCCCACCCCACCTCTCTAGCATAGCCAATCGCAACTCAAATACTGATCCTGCTGATATTGTCAGAGACCCTAAAGAAGGTAAAATTCGATTTATAATGTGAAAGAGTACCAAAAATAATGCAACTTTCCTATGGGTTTTCAGGCTGCTTCGAGAGCTGCTCGTCGGCAGGGACTCAACAGGTGAGACATCCCCTAACCATTAACCATCCAAAACAACAACTGGCATTACTAATTCCGCATCTGATGCGAATTCACTTGCAGGAGCACAGCTGTAGCTGTATGCTTGCGCTTGGTGGTGACCACAATAACGACGGCAACTATCCAACTGGGACGTTCTAGCCATGGACGTGGAAAGGCGGCGTCGGTGAGTGAGAATGTGCACGAGATATGTTTACTTCGCGTTGTGTTGCGCTACCAGCAGCGATACGATTACGATTACGATACGATACGAGATGAGAATGAGATGGCGACCCAAAAGCGACTGCGCTACACTCAATTAATTGTCACCTGAATGGCAGCCGCAGCCATAGATTTTTTCGATTTGTTAGGCAGCAAATTTTGAGCTTTGTTTGCAATGGCAAAACAACAAAATACATAGGCTAAAAAGTAATAGACTGACCGACCGACCGCGCTGGCAGCAAACACCTTCCATAATCTCATGTTCAAAGCGACAGCGACAGCGACAGAGCGGCAATCAAATTGACAAGCGAGTGAACAAAACGGGGGGCGACTTTATAATAAATTTGCCATTTTCGCATTAAAATTTGTAACCAAACCGAACCGAAGCGGGCCAGGCCAGCTAGCCAGCCAGCACTGGCTGCTGCTGCTGCTGCTGCTGCTGCTTTTGTTGCACAGGCAACGGGCAGTCGTTGCGTTGCATCGGATGCGTGAAGCGTGCGTTTTTATCGTTGTTTGGTCCAAAGCCAAATATTAAGACAAGGACTAGGACCGACCTCACTCCACTCTGAACCTCCTCGCTGAAAATCCCAGAGGGCGAGGGCATGTGGCCATGGCGAATGCCGGCCGCACTCCATTTGAGCGAGCTGGAACGGTATGTTGTGCTCTTGCTCTCCACGCTCACGCTTCCACATCCACATCTACATCCATATCCACACCCACCTCTATTTCCACTTCCACTCCTACCCCCTCTCCGGCCTCCTGTAACTGTTTCACGGAAGCTTTCTGACTGCCTGCGATGCATATAAATTCTTCAATTTTATTACTCATTTTCCACCATCCACTCAATTCCCCTACCCAAAAAGCTATCTCTGGTTCGGCCCCAAGTACAAATAAGTGCACAAAAACAACAAAATTTATAAATGTATGTATACATGTACCGTACATAAATGTATGTGTGTTTTATACATATTTATATTTGCGTAAGAAGAAAAGCAGAAATTCGCTAAACGGCAATTGGCAATTGCAGTGTGCGCATTTGGTCGTAAAGCCTCTATAAAAACTAATTGCAAAAAGTAATTCTGTGTGAAAGAGATTCGATACAATTCGCCCGCCCCCGCACCCGCACCACTCTCTCTCTACTCGCAAGCGAGCACATATCCCGTTCGATCACCGTTCTCGTTCCCCCAATCCGTTTCCCCGACAAAAGCTCTGAAGCCAGGATTGAAGCTTTCAATTTGTTTCAAACGTAAAATGCTTTCCAGCTTATTTGGGAAGACGACGTATAAATTAAATTGAAAATTATATTGTCTATAGGTGACGATAATGTTGTCGTCGTTGCCGTTGCCATTGTTGTTGTTGTTGTGATTATGTATTATTATGATTGTTGCTTTTGTTGTTAATAATAATGTTGTTGTATTTGTTGCCTGCCATTCGCCGCTTTGGCTAAAACAGCAAAGCGTTTTTTATGTTTTCATTTTTTGAAAATTCCACTTTCCCAAAGTTGCTTGCGTTTGTTGTTGTTGGTGTTTTTGTTTTTGACTTTTCTGTCATGCCGTAAGTGGCGATGATGAAATCACAACAATTCAAACACCTTTTAGTATCAATTTTTATTTTAGCGCCGACGACTGTCATCGACAGCGGCTCGGCTGTCTTGGCCGCCTCCTCCATACCGCCATGCTCCATTCCCATCTCTCTGAGCAGTCTGCCTTGTGCTGTGGATTGCTGCAAATATTTGTCTTTAGTTTCAGCTAATTGAATTTCAATTGAAGGGTGTGACCGGCTGGCCGGCTGGATGAACTATAATAACCCGACATCCTTTCAGGGCGGGAGCGACAAAGAGAGAGACAAAGCACTGCACTGATATTGGCTATGCTCCTCAAATAAGCCACTATCCGGCACGGACTTACCTTACCTTATGGCTAAGTTTAGCTTGGGAGCAAGTTGCTCTCCCTCTTTCCTCTTGTCTTCTTTCTAGCCTTGCCAAATGCTGATCTCTTATTTTCATACATGCATATGTATGCTTGCATGTGTATGTATGTACTTACAATGTATGTGAATCTGCATGTGTCAATGAATGTTGTTGAAGGAGGGGAGGGGTCAGGTTGGATACTACTACTGTTGTTGCTGCTGGGTCGCTGATTTTTCTTTTCTCGAATTCATTCAAAACACAAACGCAGCACGAAAGCTAAAGAAAAAGGGAAAAATCTCACTGTTGTTGTCTGTCAGACAGACGCAACGCAACGCAAAAGTAAGCCATATCAACGTCGCTGTCGCCGTAGACGTCGACGTCGCCATCATCGTGGAAGGCACTCTCCGGCATGGCTTGCATTCTTTCCACAATTTATCAAAGTCAACAGAGTTGCGCGATAAAGTCAAGGCCTCCTTCCACTGCTGCTGCTGCCCCCTCCAATACTTATGCATATTCATCTTGTGTACACACGCTGCTCTCCATTGCCTTGTTCTATTTGTCAAAGTTGTGCGTATTCGCGCTGAGCTGCGCGCTGTCTCCTTCCGCTGAATGAAACTTAATACATCTAATTATTGTACGTACCAATGTATGTAAATAATGTACATATGTATGTATGCATGATAAAGCGTGCAGCTGGCCACCATGCAGATTGCTTGACATGCGCTGTCACTGTCGCCCATTTGTCTACGATTTGCGCTGTCGCGCTGCAGCTCGTTGCTCGTCATAACGGTACCATTCCCAGAAACCCAGCCGATCCACCTATGTATGTGTGCATGTATGTATGTAGCTCTCTCTGAATCACACTAACGCTAATTGTCTGTCCTGTCCCTCTCTTTGTTTGATTCCTCTATGTGCGAGAGATGATGAGGTGTTGAAGGCTGCAAATTATGACTAATATGCGCACTTTCCGAACATTTGTAGTTTTGTTTTTTTTGTGTGTTTCTTTGTTTACTTATGCCCAATGGACTACAATGGCTAATAATATACACCTTATAATAACGGAAATAATAAACGAATTGTGCAGCTCTAAAGCTCTGAATCAGGGAACCACTGTGCACGAAATTCCGCATTTGAGAACTCTGTTAACCTTTCTCTCTCTCTCTCTTTCTTTCTTTTTCGTGTACAGAGCGAACACGCTCGAGCGCGAGATGCGCGATCCAACCAGCATTTGCAATGTAGACTGCCTGCTGGATACGGTATCAGCGCTGGTCAGCGACTGCGACCACGACACCCTCAAGCGGCTGAAAAACATCGAACAGTATGCATCCAAATGTAAGTCCACAAACCCACAGAATCTGCGTACAATATAATTATGCATATCATCCATAATCTACAGATAAACCCCTGGCGCAGCGGATCAATCAGCTGCGCATGAATGTCGAGGACTTTGACTTCATTAAGCTAATCGGCGCCGGCGCTTTTGGAGAGGTGCAACTGGTGCGGCACAAGTCCTCCAGCCAGGTGTACGCCATGAAGCGTCTGTCCAAATTTGAGATGATGAAACGCCCGGACTCGGCCTTCTTCTGGGAGGAGCGTCACATCATGGCGCATGCCAATTCCGAGTGGATTGTTCAACTGCACTTTGCCTTCCAGGATTCCAAGTATCTGTACATGGTGATGGACTTTATGCCCGGCGGTGACATTGTCTCGCTGATGGGGGACTACGATATACCCGAAAAGTGGGCCATCTTCTACACAATGGAGGTGGTGCTGGCCCTGGACACCATACACAACATGGGATTTGTGCACCGTGACGTAAAGCCGGACAACATGCTCCTGGACAATTATGGTCACCTGAAGCTTGCCGATTTCGGCACGTGCATGCGCATGGGCGCCAACGGGCAGGTGGTGTCCAGCAATGCGGTAGGCACGCCGGACTACATCAGTCCGGAGGTGCTGCAGTCGCAGGGTGTGGACAATGAGTATGGACGCGAGTGCGACTGGTGGTCTGTGGGCATTTTCCTCTACGAGATGCTCTTCGGGGAGACGCCCTTCTACGCGGACTCACTGGTGGGCACCTACGGCAAGATAATGGACCACAAGAACTCGCTCAGCTTCCCCCAGGAGGTGGAGATCAGCGAACAGGCCAAGGCCCTCATCCGGGCATTCCTTACAGATCGGACGCAGCGTCTAGGCCGCTACGGCATCGAGGACATCAAGGCGCATCCGTTTTTCAGGAACGACACCTGGTCCTTTGACAATATCCGGGAGAGTGTGCCGCCGGTTGTGCCGGAGCTAACCTCCGACGATGATACGCGCAATTTCGAGGACATCGAGAGGGACGAGAAGCCCGAGGAGGTGTTCCCCGTACCCAAGGGCTTCGATGGCAATCACCTGCCCTTCATCGGCTTCACCTACACGGGCGACTACCAGCTCCTGTCCAGCGACACTGTCGACGCCGAGGCCAAGGAGCCCAATTCTGTGAACAGCAATGCGAGCAATAACCATGCCCATGGGCATGGGCACAACCACCGCCACCGTACCTCAAATTCCAACGAGCTGAAGCGGCTCGAGGCGCTGCTCGAGCGGGAACGCGGCCGGGCCGATGCCTTGGAGAAGCAGGACACTAGCCTGCGGCACCAGATCGAGCTGAGCGGCAAGCGTGAGGTCGAACTGCAGCGCATTGCGGCCGAGTACGAGAAGGATCTGGCGCAGCGCAAGAACAACTACAAGGTGGCCATGCAGAAGGTGGAGCAGGAGATCGAGCTGCGCAAGAAGACGGAGGCCCTGCTGGTGGAGACGCAGCGCAATCTGGAGAACGAGCAGAAGACGCGCACACGCGACCTCAACATCAGCGAGAAGGTCGTCACCCTGGAGAAGCAGCTGCAGGAGATGGAGCACAGCTTCAAGAGCGAAACGGAGAACACGCAGAAGCTGAAGAAGCAGAACGCAGAGCTCGGCTTCACGCTGAAGACGCACCAGGAGAAGGTGCGCGACATGGTCGAGATGATCGAGACACTGCAGAAGCACAAGGACGAGCTCGGCCAGGAGAATGCCGATCTGCAGGCGCAGGTGGTGCAGGAGAAGAACCTGCGCTCCCAACTGAAGGAGCTGCAGAAAGAGACGGAGAACAAGATGCAGACCCTCACCAATGACATTGAGCGCACCTCGGTACGAGAGCAGAAGGCCAAGGAGGACAACCGCGCCCTGGTGGAGAGGATCAGTGAGCTGGAGAAGAGCCATGCCAGTCTCGATTTTGAGCTGAAGGCGGCCCAGGGTCGCTACCAGCAGGAGGTGAAGGCCCATCAAGAGACTGAAAAGTCGCGGCTGGTCTCACGCGAGGAGGCCAATCTGCAGGAGGTCAAGGCACTGCAGTCCAAGCTGAACGAGGAGAAGTCTGCCCGGATTAAGGCCGACCAGAACTGGCACGAGAAGGAGCGCCAGCTGAACATGCTCTCCGTGGACTACCGCCAGATCCAGTTGAGGCTGCAGAAGCTCGAGGGTGAGTGCCGCCAGGAGTCGGAGAAGGTGGCCGCTCTCCAGTCGCAGCTGGACCAGGAGCACAGCAAGCGCAACGCCCTGCTCTCGGAGCTCAGTCTGCTCAGCTCGGAGGTGGCGCATCTGCGCTCTCGCGAGAATCAGCTGCAGAAGGAGCTGTCGGCCCAGCGCGAGGCCAAGCGGCGCTTCGAGGAGGATCTGTCGCAGCTGAAGACCACCCACCACGAGGCACTGGCCAACAATCGGGAGCTGCAGGAGCAGCTCGATGCAGAGCTGTGCTTCTCGCGGCTCTACAAGACGCAGGCAAGCGAGAATCGGGATGAGAGCGCCGAGCGTCTGGCCAAGATCGAGGATTTGGAGGAGGAGCGCGTCTCACTCAAGCACCAAGTGCAAGTGGCCGTCGCTCGGGCCGACTCTGAGGCTTTGGCCCGCTCAATAGCCGAGGAAACGGTGGCCGATCTCGAGAAGGAGAAGACCATCAAGGAGCTGGAACTGAAGGACTTCATCATGAAGCACCGCAACGAGATCAATGCTAAGGAGGCGACGCTCGCCACCCTCAAGGAGGCGGAGGCAGAGCTGCACAAGAAGCTCGGCCAGAAGGCCAACGAGTACGAGGATCTCGTCCAGCAGCACAAGAAGCAGCAGGACGAGCTGGGCCAACTGTGCGTCACCAAGGACGAGGAGATATCCAAGCTGGTCGAGAAGTGCAAGACCGAGGTGCTGCTCAAGCAGGTGGCCGTCAACAAGCTGGCCGAGGTGATGCATCGCCGCGACTCGGACTTGCAGAGTAAGTGTTCCTCCAAAGCGAATGAAGACACCAAAGTATTCGAATTTCCCTTCTTTTCCACAGAGCAAAAGAGCAAGGCGCGGTCCACGGCGGAGCTGCGCAAGAAGGAGAAGGAGATGCGCCGCCTGCAGCAGGAGCTCTCCCAGGAGCGTGACAAATTCAATAAGCTGCAGCTGAAGTGCCACGACCTGCAGCAGCAGTGCTCCGAAGAGCAGCAGATCAAGCAGAAGATGTTCATGGAGATCGACTGCAAGGCCACCGAGATAGAGCATCTGCAGAGCAAGCTGAACGAGACGGCGTCCCTCTCGTCCGCCGACAACGATCCCGAGGAGAGTCAGGTGAGGCACGAGATCCGCGCACACACACTTTTATATCCCGCCAAGAACACATACTCACACAAACACACACTCCGAATTGCACATGAACGCGCTTTTGGGCTTCTCTAGCACTCCTCTCTGCTCTCCCTCACACAGGACTCGGTCTTCGAGGGCTGGCTGAGTGTCCCCAACAAGCAGAATCGTCGCCGCGGCCACGGCTGGAAGCGCCAATATGTGATTGTCTCTTCGCGCAAAATCATCTTCTACAACTCGGACATAGACAAGCACAACACAACGGACGCTGTTCTCATACTCGATCTGAGGTGAGTTTCAAGTTCCAAAATGAAAATTAAGATCTAAGATTTAACGCTCGTTCTTTGATTGCGATTTTGCAGCAAGGTATACCACGTGCGCAGCGTCACCCAGGGCGATGTCATACGCGCCGATGCCAAAGAGATTCCGCGCATCTTCCAGCTGCTGTATGCCGGCGAGGGCGCATCCCATCGTCCCGACGAGCAGAGCCAGCTGGATGTGAGCGTGCTGCATGGCAACAGCAACGAGGAGCGTCCCGGCACCATCATCCACAAGGGTAAGTTCCATATCTGGAACCATGGCTGAAGCTAAACCCTTTGTTGTTGCTTCCATTTTAGGTCATGAATTTGTGCACATCACCTACCACATGCCCACAGCGTGCGAGGTGTGCCCGAAGCCATTATGGCACATGTTCAAGCCGCCGGCGGCTTACGAATGCAAGAGGTATAGTAAATTGAGCTACTAGGTTGATTCTTTAATTCTAATTTGTTATTATTCCTTTGCAGATGCCGCAACAAAATACACAAGGAGCATGTGGATAAGCATGATCCGCTGGCGCCCTGCAAGCTGAATCATGATCCGCGCTGTGCCCGCGACATGCTGCTGCTGGCCTCCACGCCCGAGGAGCAGTCGCTGTGGGTGGCACGTCTGCTGAAGCGTATCCAAAAGAGTGGATACAAGGCGAATTCATCGAACAACAACAGCACCGATGGCAGCAAGATATCGCCCAGGTAAAGAGAGAGAGAGACGAGAGCCGCCTGTTGGCCCTGATAGCCTGCACCGTTACGTCGTTGCCTGCCTTCTGCCCCTTTAGAATCAGGCCAGGCTAGGCAGGAACCGATACTAACCAAACTAATCTAAGCAACTAACTTATCACCGTACCCCAACCCCCAGGTGTTTAGTGTCTTTCCCTCAGCGTTGGTTTCAATAATATCGAATGGTATTTCTCTCTTTTACTCTCTTCCCCCCCCCATCATTATCATCCTGTCTCTCGCTCGCTAACCATCATTATCATCATCTGTCCATCTCATCATCATCATCCAAACATCGCTTCAACCAATTGGCAGCCAATCGACCCGCTCCTCCTACAAGCCGTACGCTGTGAATGTGCAACGCTCCGCCACGCTACCAGCCAACTCATCGCTGAAATGAATCCAGGGACACAGCGACGCAGCTAAACAAAGATAAATAAAGAGAGAGAATGCAGCGCAATAACACAGAAAGCAGCAAACAGCAAAACAGAAAGCCGAAAGCAGAAACTGAAACAATAATTGAAATTAACGCTTAACCACTACCACTATCCAGAACACTTGCTAAAACAGAAGACAGAAAACAGAAAACAGAAAACAGAAAACACGCGTGTTGAAACAGAAACTAAATTTAAAGTGAAACTAAAACTAAAACTAAAACTTTGTGTAATGTAAGAGCCATTCATCTAACGCTTCTTTAACCCATAAAACCAATAAGCAAACAAAACTAAAAGAACAGAAGAGTGTAAGATGAAGACCGACCCACTTGTCAGCGGGCAAACGGATCAACGATGAACCATAAACCATGAACCATAGATACATACGTCATTTAGATTGTACCATATACATATATATTCTATATATTCTATATGTATAAATATAAATACTATATTGTATGCTATGCTATGCTATGCTGAAATGCTATTCTACTGTGGCAACCTACACACTCAGCAGCACAATGGCCAGCCAATACCACAATCAGGAGAGAGCTATACTTAGTTAAGTGAGGATCAAATCTTATGGACCAGTCGCAGCTCTTGTTTTACAACTTGATGCCTTGTAACAATTTTAACTTATTATTTGTTTTTTTTTTTTTGTATTATTTATTTAGCTTCTGTTGCTGTTGTGTTGCAAATCTGATTTATATTGTAAAAAGAAAAAAAAGCAAAGCATTGTGAACGGAAAATATACAATATAGATATAGATTATATGTACACGTAGAGCATATCCCTGTAAGTCAGATCGATCATGCAACAGAGCAGAGCGAAAGCAACAGCAAAAGCAAAAGCAAACGAAAGCAATCAAGCAACCTAATTAACCATTCATCAATCAAACAATCAATGAAGCTAAGTTCGAGCCCTTTTTACAAAGCTTTAACTTGTATTCCATTTAAAGAACACTATTTTAAAACGTATTTACACTAGCACTAGTTACTGTAGATGATACGAGCATACGTAGCAGGTAGTTAGTTAGTTGTAGGAATCAGGTGTGGAGGCATACCCAGAAGGATGAACAAACAATCAATCGATCAGTTACTTAAAGCAAATGCAAATGCAACTTCCCCTATGCCCCTCATACATGGGGATACATAATCTTATATTAATAGAGCTTGACATGAATCAATCGAAACGAAACGAAACGAAACTAAGCTTACAGAAAGGAAAACGAAACGAAACACAGACTTTTTCTGTGTGTGTCTGCGTGTGTGTGTGTGTGTTTAAAAGGCTACATCTTAAGTATTAAATATCCAATATGTTTTAGTTGTTAAGCCAAACAAATTATTTATTTGTATTTTCTGTTCGATGGCGCTGCAGCCGCAGCCTTCACACTCAGCATTCTCTCCTCACTCTCTCACTCATTTGATATGGGGCTTTTCCCTATGAAACAGACTCCAAATTGATGTATTCCTCTAGGGATCATTGGCACGTTCCATTCGTGTAGCCTTAGTATGTTGCGTGTGTGTGTGTGTGTGTGTTTTTTTTTGTTTGTTGTTTAGTTTGTGTACAGAGTGAGAGACGGCAGCGTATTGCATTTAAAAGTAATGGAAAGTGCCCAAAAAAAAAACAAAGTTATGCAGAGGGTTGGGAGACCCAGAACCCACTGCTCCATGCTTTTCAGTTGTATTTCTTAGTCGGAAAAAATGAAGTCGAGCCATTGCTTTCTTTTTTTATTTTAAAAATTGTATTTTACTTGTACTATTTTATTGTCATGATGAGCGATCCATTCGTATTACGTTTATGTTTATGTTTAAATATATATATTAGACTTTAGTTTAAGGCGCGTCTGCAGTTGCATTTCCCCGCAGAAATGCCTCAGAAATTGAACTGCAAACGCCCCAAGCCCAAGCTCCCAAACCACAGCCCCAAAACCCAGCAAAATAAAGTAATAATGTGTATAAAATCAACATTTTCCCTTTATGTTTGTATTTATTTTTGTTCTTTATGATTTTCGCATTTACTTCAACACAATCCAGCAACTCCCACACATATCCTTATAAAAGTCTGATAGGTACGCAGCGGATGCAGCTGTACAAAACGAAGAGACTGTTCCCCCTACTACTAGGGGCTGCTTAGAAATAGAAGCTTAAACTTGAAACAAGAAGATTCCTAAATGGTACACTTCGAATGAGCGGAAATGCATTCAATTCATATTTTATGTATATCCAAACATATAGTACATACATATACATATGTTATGTAAAAATAGAATTAAGTTTCGAACAAAGTCTGATTAAATGAGAAATGAAATTGCACGAAAAATGTTGTATACCTGCCATGGAACCAGATTTTGTATTAGCATTGGGATTTGCATATGACTTCGGTTTACATATGTTTCGGATTCGGAATCGGTTTCGGTTTCGTCTGCCATTATCCATGGACTTAGAGTCGCTGTTAATGGAAGTCGGAGGCAGATGTGCTCGTCGAGTATGTAGATTCGGATGCCCAGCAGTTGTCCCCGGACTCGGACAAATGGAAATTTTTTGTTTTGTTTTATTTTATTCATAATTTAACAAGTTTCTTGTTTATGTTGTGACGGCTCTATCTGGCTTTTACAGGCAAGCGAGCAACCCATCAGATCATTAAAATGTATCTCCAATCTGTTCATCTGTATCTGTGTATCTGTGTATCTGTAGCCTGTCTCTCTCTGTGTGGTGCTCTTTTATTTGGCAGCTGACATTTTGTAGTTCAAGGTAAGTTGGCCAGTCAGCCAGTCGGCCACAGTTGGGCCGAAGTTGGGGCCCCGTAGCCCCACCAGGTGTAGTGGCGTTGAGGCCAACTAATTAGCATCGCTAAACATCCCAGGGCAGGCCACGCCCTCCCACTGACTCCGACTCCGACTCCGACTCTGCCTTTGACTTTTGTGGCCACATCTGGCCGAAGAACATCTGCAAAAACGTTCAAGCCGTCCATGAGTGTTGAGTGTGTGGAAGATTAATTATCGCAGCACCTAGCTTTGTCACCCATAAACCGTCATCGCCTATCAGCCAGCAGCCTGACCAGCCAGCACACCTCGAAACCATCAGCATACACACCATCCACCTAATCAGTCCAAGGCCCCGACGAACCCACAAAATATGCATAAATATTTCTGGTGTTTCTTCTGCTGTTTTTACAGCCTTTTAATTTGGTGTCATCGGCATACTGGGTCCCCAGCCGCAGCCGCCACATCTTCATCACATGGCATGGCGATGATCATCAATGCATCCGCCATGCATGCCATGCCATGTCATGAGCTGCCTCAGTTAACTTGAAAACCCAGTGAAGGATCGCTTTCTGGTGCCATCCTGGAGTTATTCTTGGCATCTATATAAATATCTATATGTTCCTTGGCTGCTTTATTTATTGATTTGAGCAACAACCTTTGGTTCACTGGAGTTATTATTGCGGCTATTATTTGCATCAATTCAATAGATAACTTAATGCTATCGCTCAACATTTATTATAAAATCTGCAAGGACTGACTGACTTTTATCTCCCCAACAGGCTGGTAAATTGAGTCCAAGAGCCATTTAGTAGCTACTAGCTACTAGAGTAAACGCAGAGAAAAAAGTGATTGAAATTGTAAAATTAACATTTGGATCTGAAAATGTTTGCCAATAGATTTGACTGGAGGGTGCATTTAAATTGGATTATTTGAAATGAAATATATTTTATGTCAAGTGCTGAAAATCATTTATTTTCAATAATCAATAATCAAATATGAATGAATATTGTTGAGTGTCCAGAATAGTTGCAGGATCTATGGTAGTGCCTGTGGCAGGACAGGGTGTTCCCGCTTCGTTGCCACCGCACTAACCTTTCCTTTGGCTCCCTGATCTTCCCCCCTCGACATTTACATGCGGTACAGATGCAGATGGGCCGCCGCCGCTCGTTGGTGGAGCTGGAGACGAGATGATACGGTGACGGAGGGGGCTTGGTCTTGATTTCGGGATTTACCAGATCTCAGCCAAAAAGCCAAAACAACAATTGGCTTAAAATCAATAAATTAATTAATAAAATATACAAATTGCAAACCTCGCCTGAACCTCACTGCTGCCAGCGCCAGCGCCAGCGCTAGCGTCACAGTCGCTGCCGAGATTGCGTTTCTTTGGTTGGTTTTCGGATTGGATTGGATTGGATTGGATTCGGGCAAAACCTGTCATAAGCAAAGCCAGCACCAGCCTGGCAACGATGTCGCCGTGACAAATTGGCTGTGAAGCCGAAGCATAAGGCATGAGGCCCCAAAAAAAAACAAAAACCAGAAGTGCTCCTGCACTCTTTGCATACTTACTCAGGCAGCAATCCGAAATCCGAAATCCCAGTGCCAGTGCCAGTTCCAGACCCAGTGCCAGATCCAGCAACAGACCCCAGCCATGGCAGCATAGATCCGGGGTGGTGGTGGTGGTGGTGGTGGCGATGGCGGTGTCGGTGACGATTGGAGGTGCTGGCGGAGGCGGAGGCGGCGGCGACGGCACAGTTGGTTGTTGGCTAGGGCGGCGGTCTGAACCTGTTGTTGGCCAGGCCAAGCCAGGCCAGGCCAGGCGAAATCTCAACTCTGTCTCTGCCAGCTTCGCTGCTGGCGTCGCTGCCACAAAATATTGGATGGCCGTAGGTTAACTTTGTGCACACGGCATAAGTAACGTTCAGTCTGCCTCTAGAAGTCGATCGTGATCGTGTGGCCCAGTCAGTTCCGCTCAAGCTCGAACCAACAATCTTCAATCTTGTGGCTCTCTGTCTGCTTTGCCTGTCCATCCATCTGTCGTCCGCCGTCCATCGTCCATCGTCCGTCCTCCGTCCACCGTCCCTACGTCGTTCGCTGTTTTTTTTTTCTAGTTTAAGACGTGCGCGTTTTGAATTCTTTTTGTTGGTTCCAAATCTTCGCTTGGACAAGTTCAATTTTTGTACAACAATAAAAAACACACACCAATCCCAACACCAACACCAACACACACACACACACACAAATCGCGACAAAATGAAGTACTTCAACATGTGAGTGATCCATCCAGCCATAAGTATAATTAAATATTTTTAAGTGTCTCTGGAAAACTGAAAGTGGCTTCTTTTTTTTTCTTGTAACTTATTTGTGCAAAATAAACTAACATTTTAATGTATGTACAGTGATAGCTTGTACATTTTATGTACATATTTATGCAGACTCTCCCAGCTTCGACATTTGGCACGACACCCCCCTCCCCTAGAAATCGTGTTGCTTGGCTCCGACCTCTCCTCAGATCTGTTACATGGGTAGATATTGTCTTGCAACCTTTTTGGGACACGATAACCACCTAAAGAACGACCAAATGCAGGTGTAACAAACAGACAGACAGACGGACAGAGTCTTGCCTCGACTTATTGCCAATTTGAACTTTAACACGGCACCGAGACGAGACGAGACGGAGACTGCAACTCAAACTGGAACTGAAATTGAAACTAAAACTGAAACGTTGAAATCAAAGCCGAAAATGCCAAAAGTCTCATTATGATGATGGCGATGATGATGATGATGATGATGATCATGCAGCTCAGCCTGAACGATGCTGATGCTGAATGCTGATGAAGTTGTCACGGGATGGGATGGCTGAGTTGGCTGGCATTTGCCGGCACGGCACATATGTACACAATTCTCATAAAGAAATGGCAAAAGTTAAGTCCCCACAGACGGCAGTCACTGCTAAAGGCAATGCGATGATGGATGGATGTGTGCTTGAATCTCAGCGGTTGGGCGGGGAGAAAAACCTCAAACGACTCAAACGCTGTCTTCGGAGTTGGAGTGCAAATTCGAGACAGCGACAGCGACAGAGACCGAGTCCGAATCAGAGTTGATCATAAGAAAAGTTTCAAGGTCGTCGACAGCTGATGCTGATGCTGCGTTTGCCGTTTACCGTTTACCGTTGTTTCGTGATTCTCCTTCTTCTTCGTCTCAATGTGATTTGCTGTTGTTGTTGTTTTTTCAGTTTGGAAGTCTGGGCGCTGGCACCCAGCAAATTAAGCATATTGGATTAATTATCAGACGTTAGTTGTTGCTGTTGGGTTGTCTTATAAATTAACGGTTGCATTTTTAATACGAGCTGACAGACGGACACACACTAGCGAACGCACACCGACACGGCGCATGCCTGCATCTGCATACATTTATTGATAAATACATGTAGGCATGTGCAATATACTAAATACATACATACATTTGTAAGTATGGTATATGAAATACATATATATATATATATATATATATGAGTTAATCGCTGAGTTGTATGCGGGAATTAATCACTCTTGCAGCAGCAGCAGCAGCAGCAGCAGTAAAGCAACATTGGTTAGACAGAGACAGCGACAACAAGCGCCAGGTTGACGCCAAGATCAGGATTTTAGTTTAGTTTCGGTTTTTTGTATGAATTTTGTTGGTTTTGTTGTGTTTGGCTTACATGCGTTTCATTTCATTCGCGCGAATTATGCAATTTCGTATTTAAATAAATAATACATGAGGGAGTTGTACGGATTGAGATCATAGCCTACATTATACAGACACATACACACAGATGTATGTATGTATGTACACACGTACATATGTTTAATATAGATAAGCATGACAGCGGGCAATAATTCAAGGGCTCTTTGGCATCTCAAATTGGCAATTGATTGCATTTTATGGGCCAAAACCAATTCAATGTAAGCCAAAGTATACATATATGTACACGACACTCCGCCACAAATCAAAAGACTCAGGCAACAAAACTTGCAGTACGCTCCACATACCACTCGTGCCTCCAATTGGCATGATGCCAGGGGCCAGACCAAAGCCTTAGCCAAACACGTACATGCACGTGCATACATACATACATACATATGTACGTACATGAGAGGTTAGCTACGGACAGACACAATGCACCGTTATTGAACCCACTTACCGTAAGCCACTTTACTGTAA